CGAGTAAAGTATTAGCCGACTCTAAACGTTTGAATCATCGAGTGTATGCCGTCGATTCCTCGACCGTCGCGGCAACGAAACGATATTCCGCGCAATTTTCTTCTCGTGCTTCGAATAAAATTATAAAACTATGAGCGAGCTGTCCTCGCGTGGCTCATGGAATTTTGCTTTTTACGGAAATTTATGTGAAAGTCAGTATTTAAACAGCATTCTGTCTAAACAAATAAAAAGTGCGAGAAAATATATAATCCAAGTTATATCTCAAAATGTAGTAAATATTTTACAATTTACACAGCTCCTTAAAATTGTACAATTTTATATAATGTGAAATTGTACAATTTTATAATAATCAGAAACGATTTTCATCAAACGTTATTAATTTATAAATGAAATATCCAATACATGGGATTTTTTTTTGAACGCTCTAATTTATATATTTGTTTAATATTCAGGTTCGATGCATTATAGATTTATTGAACAAAGACATACTTTTTTCTGTATGTGTTTAAAAAAAAATAGGTTTAGATAAATAATTAATTAAAATCTCGGGTCGAGTCTCGCGACTACAAAGATAACTTTACAATAAATGCAATAAAAATTAGAAGCACATTGCGTAACACGAGATGCTTATTTAATAATTTTTTATATCTCGCATCTTTAAGTGATCAGATATAATCGAAAAGGAAATGCAGTGTTGGTAGAGTATATCCCGCCGAGATAATCCTACGACATTTATGATCTAGCGACCGTAAAAGTGAGTACGAATGACGATCTTCTTGGAACAATTTGCGGATAATATTTAGTAATAATGCGATGCTACTTTTTAGTTTACAATAACACATAAAGTCGAACTGTTTGATTGGCAGATCAATATTTTTATTGTCTTTTCTTAAAATAATTCAACGCGAAACTAATTTTCTATGATATTTTTGACATTTATATGGAAATGCGAAACAGAAAGTAGTTTAGAATGAAAAGATTAGCTCATCGAAATCATTGATGAAATTCATTGATAATATTTTTGTCGGCATTATTTGGAAGACATCGAGTTCGGCCAATGTTGTGTATTCACGTTCATTGACGTAAACACACATTTATTCTCGTTATTACTGTTGACACAATGTATCCAAATAGTTTTCAAATATTTTCATTCAATCGATACATTATTTAATGCATGTATACTGTTTCTGTTGTGCATTTAAGTAAGTAATGAGTTCATTATCTTTACAAAAGAATAATTTCACATGTTTTACGGAAACAAATAATAAACAACGGAAGTGACAAACCAAAAATTTCTCGCTATAAACAAAAGTCATTGAATGCGTGCCAGGCCAAAACCAGAATATCAACGAAATAATTTCGGTAAAAACATAGTCGGCAAAATCATGTCGATGACATTAGAGTGTTTTCATAATAAACTATGATCACAACAAACTCAGATACACGCTTAAAATCGGGTAAACGAATCGTAATAAATTCATTGAACTGATTCTTAAGACTATTCGTTGGCACAAAATATTAATTTTTTCAAGTCTTCGTTTTAATTTCAATGTCTTATCAGCAGTAAATGTACGAAACAATAGTACGTTCTTTCTTATTCTTATTTTAGACCTTTTTCTCGCGATACGACGCTCCGAAAAATGGATTCAATTTATAATAAAACGCGTCGAAATAATCTTTCGCGCGTATCGTGAATGCAATTTTAATTGCAACGCGATTGCAGGAATATCGATAACAAAATGCGTGGATATGTATGCTTTTGAGCACGGTCGCGTTGCGTGCTGACAGTTACTTCCCCGTCGGTTAATACCGACGCCATGCCGGAGGACGCCGACGGGATCGATCAGCAAAATGACGCAGCTATTCATTGTCGCAAACAGTTTATAGCAGTTCTCGATGTAATATACATCATACACAATTATTTTTTTGCCGTTTCCCTACCTTACAAGAAGCGGCTATATTGATGTAAGATTCTGCAATTTTCCAAATATTTAATAGTTACATAATTGCAATTCTCTTTGCGATATTTATTTATTATCGTTGTATTATTTTTTGATAATAATATTAATCAGTATATTATATGTGATCGTTTAAAAATTGAAATTGGAATATTAGAATATTAATTATATTTTTGACAGAAGACGGAATCTCGGTAGATATTTTTAGATACTTTTTACGATTTTCAAATTGATACAAATTTTTTTAATAAAGATTTATAGTGAAATCATCTATTCGTTTATAAACAAGCTTGAAATTTCTAAATATGAATTATTGAAAGGAATAAAGAAAAGTTTCTTATGCGATTGGATTTAATTTCGAGCATTGCAAACTATTTTCATGTTTCTGAACGTGTTTCTTTAATTTATTTTTTAAATGACATTTTTCTTAGAAAACAGCTTGGACTTTGTCATAAGAAAACGACAAATATAATCTAATTTTTTAATATTTTGTTTGAATTATTCTAATTTTTTGTACGATTTATAAAAATCACATTTTTAAAGAAGGTAATTTTGTTTCTCTTTAGACAGCAAATGATATTGTGTTAACAAATAGTCTCTACTCTTCAATGTTGTCTAAAGGATACATTGAATTAGAAAACATTTTCAATTTATGAGTAAATTGTTACATTTTTCCTTTCACTATTAATATTTGCAGATGCTTCTCAATTATTTAATTAATAATGTTGTATATTTATATAGTTATAGTATAAATAGTTTTAAATAATTTTGCGCGGGATTTTAATGTTTAATATACTTATTGAACGTCAAAGCTGAATATTATATGTTCACACTGAGTTTGTACGATGGAACAAATTCTTTTCTTTTGATCTTGTATATATAAGTTTAACGATGAAATTTTGTGTGCGTGATAATAATTTTGATACAAAATTTTGATGCGTATTTCCGTGTTAATAGTAAGAAAACGTGAGTCCTAGCTGTTTACATTATCAATTCGTCTTATCTAGGTCTGAAGCATACGTTTATCTAGATTCTAGATAGATGCTTCTAAGTTATTTATGGCACAAAGTGTTATCGGAATATTGATACTAGTATGTTCCTTGTTCGCATCAAAGAAAAAAAAGACGTTAGGAATATACTTAAAGAAACTCGCGCGAAGATGTAGCACTCGAAAGTAATTAGCAATTGGCATAAACTACTCTTCGGGATGCCTATTACGTGTATTAAATGGCACGCGATTGCATCTACGCAAAGTAAAAGCGCGAATAATGCATGAAGATAATTTCGATGACATCGATGAGAATTCAAATGAGATCGTGGGTTGAGAATGTAAGCATGTATGAGTGTGGCTTAATATATAGCGAGTTTGTTTCTTTCTTTTAATATATCTATATACCTTGTACTTTATCATAAAGCGACAAAGGAACTGAAAGATACTCATTTGAAGTAAATAATATTAACAAAATTTCAAATTCATGTCACGGCGTATTAAACAATAAGATCTTTTTACATGTATTATAAAGCTAATTAACAATAATATCAAGAGATGAATGAACTTACAATAAATGAATAAAGCAAATCATGAATCTAATTTTCTAATAAGAGTGTAAGTCGTTATTTTACATTATGTATATAATTTTTACACATTCTCTCTCTCTCTCTCTCTTTCTCTCAGTTTTAAGGATACCTAAAGATTATGTTGTTTTATTGTAAATGTTTATCAGATTACGTTACGCGAAGGAATAATGTAAAAACTTATTTATTTTTAGATAAGATAAAAATGTTAATCTTCTTATAATTATCCCGTAAATATACGTGTATATATATATACAGTTTTCAACACAATTACCCGTATATGTAAAAACTAAGAATGCACATAATATATACTTTCTAGTCTAAAAACCCCTTAATAAACAGTAATACATCTAAATATGGCTCGGCTCGGCTTGGCACGGCACGGCAAGGCACGGCACGGCACGGCACGACACGGCACGGCCGTGCGTCGTGGAGCCGGGCGTCTCGCGTGGAATTGCGCAAGCCAATTCCGCTCCGAGGGATGATCGGCTTCGCGCGCGCGAGCGACGCGAGCATGCGCGCTCCATTCAGAGACAACGCCGGAGGGGTAGAAGAGGCTGCGGCGCCGCACAAGATACGGCTATGTGACGATTCAAAACGGGAACCGAGGGAACCAACAGCCACACCAACGTCACCATCCGATTGGTCGAGCGCGATACGACTGGAGGAAGGCCCGGCTACGATTGGCGGTCCCGGCGCCATCGGGCGCGGCACACGCAAGCAACGGTGGGGTATATTTGAACAAGAGCCGCCGACTCAAGAGTAGCGGAGTACACTCGCTAACCGGCCTCCATCCACAACACGGCACACAGAGAGAGGAGAGAGAGACTCACGTTGGTACGAGGCGGAGTGTGTGGTGAGAGGCGGTGAGGTGGCTCAAACAGGGCCCCGCTCGATCAAATAACCGACCGCGCGCGCGGCCGTCGAGCAGCCGTCATCGTAGTGGTTGGTGTTGTTTCGCGCACTCGTCCACGTCTCCCTGTCGTCGGCATTGCGCGTTTGTCGTGCCCTCATGGTGTTGGGGTAACAATTACCCCTATCTCTCCCGCGGGGGTACTCTCTCGCGATCGCGTTCGCTTCGTGCATCGAATGCGCATCTTCCCGGCGAACAAACGGACTGTGCATTGTGTTCCGGGAAGAAGAGGACAGTGTCTTTGCAGTTTGCCTGCGTTTCTTCGACGCGCTTCGCTGACGCGGTGTGTGCCCCGAAGATATCCCGCGTCGAGACTTTTCTCATCTCCCGCGGGAAAGGAGGAAACGCGACGGTTCTTTGCCGATTGTGACAGAAGAGAGTTTTGTCAACTCAGTGTCATTCAGTGTTAGCAGCAAGAATTTCTCGGTGAAGTTTTTATTTCTGGTGAAGAAAGAGAGAGCTTAAGAGTGCGAGGCGATTCCTTCCTAGGCAATTACCGCGCGTCTTCCGTTCTCTCTGTGCATACGACTTCAGGAATCTCTGTGACTCGTGACTCGACAGGAAGACGAGAGCGATAGAAGACTACTTAGTTACCGTTAAAAGCGCGGACGACTCAAGAGGTCGTCCGAACTCGCCCGGTGAAAAGATTAAGGGAATACCCGACTGTCAGCAGCCGTGGTACCGCGGATTTCATGACAGCCGTTTGACAGCGACGACGCGACAGCAGGCCACCTCGGCACCGGTGAGCTCTATGACCATGCTCCAGTCGCAAAAACTGTACGGCGATGCGGGTGCCATGAGCAGCGCCGCGATGTCCAGCATGGGCAGTATGGCGCCCACATATAGCTCCATCAACTCGATGAGCTGCGTGCCGATGGGCATGTCGATGGGCGTCGGGGTCGGGCCTAGCTGCAGCCCGCAGAGTGCCGGTGGCTTCAACATGAGCACCATGAGTTCAGCGATGGGAATGGCGTCGATGGGTGGTGGCGGTATGAGCGGTTACAGCAGCGCTTCTATGGGCACCGGTGGTGCTTGTATGAGTGCCGTCGGATACGGACCCCTGACACCCAGCGGCGGTACCGGCGTCAGTCGGGATCCTCTTCTGACCGAACCGGACTCGCCGAACTCGGCGTTGCAGCGCGCGCGTAACGAGAAATCCTACCGTCGTAGCTACACTCATGCGAAGCCACCGTATTCCTACATTAGTTTGATCACCATGGCGATACAGAACGCGCCTCACAAGATGTTGACCCTCTCAGAGATCTATCAGTTTATCATGGATCTATTTCCCTTCTACAGACAGAACCAGCAACGCTGGCAAAATTCTATCAGGCACTCACTCAGCTTTAACGATTGCTTCGTTAAAGTGCCACGCACACCGGACAAGCCTGGTAAAGGATCTTTCTGGACGCTGCATCCGGACAGTGGTAATATGTTTGAGAACGGTTGTTATTTACGACGACAGAAAAGGTTCAAGGACGAAAAGAAGGAGATGACTAGGCAGAACAGCAAGCATCAACAACATCAGCAGCATCAGGCGACAGCAGCGGCGGTGGCGGCTGCGTCCGGCGCGACTATCACTGGCCAACATAGCCCACCCACTCACGAAGGCGCGCCTGGTTCCAAGAAGACCAGCTCGTCCATCCACCATGGCGGTCCTCCGCAGCAAGACGACAAGGATCTGCACGGGTTGGTGCCCTCGCATCACCATCATCACGCCGCGAGTCTCCATCAACACCATACCGCCCTGAAGAGCGATACCACCGATATCGGTGGCCTCCTAGTGCCCGATCTCGGTGCCGCGCACGACGAGCTTACCGCTATGGTCAGCCGCAGTCTCCATCCGCACCTATTGTCCGATACCGCGAGCTTGCATCACGGTATGACAGGTAGCTTGAAGCAGGAACCACTATATGGAACGGCAGCCAATCATCCGTTCAGCATCAACAGGTTATTGCCGCGAGATACCACTGGTACCTCGCCCGGCGCCCAAGATACCAAGCCACCCGAGATGAAGATGTACGAACAGCTGCACCAGAGCTACACCAACTTCGGCTCGCCCCATCATCCGCACGCGCACTCGGCGCCGCCCGGACACCATCATCACAACGGCATGCACGCCGGCACGAACGCCGCCGGGCCGATGCACATGACGAATCATCATCATCAAGAGTATTATCAGAGTCCGCATTATCATCACGCCACAAGCGTGGCCACCACGAGCGCACCGCCTCCCGCCGTTGCAACCGCGACGCCGGGCTTGTGACATCACGCCACCCACCCTTACGCTTTGGCCTGAGTCGCTGCCGCGGCATATGCCGCCGCCAGCGCTGCCGCACCCCCGATGCCACCCCCGACGTCGGATCTGTCCGCGATCACGGTGACGACCGCGACGGCCGCGGCGCCGACGACGTCCCCCGCGACCTCGTCCACCGTCTCGTCGTCGCCGCGTACGCAATCACGCCGGCGCGCCCGTCGCCCTGATAACGACGACATCGTCGACGCCGTCGTCTGCTGGCCGCCCGACGACGACGACGAGTACGACGATGAGAATGAGGACGAGGACGAGGAAAACGTCATCTACAGACGGTAGAGTGCTTGCTGTCGGGAGGTAGGATTCCTCAGGGTATTTCGGCTCACTGTTACGGTTCATCGTCTCGACGATCGGCTTAATTATTATGTTACCAGTGTTGAGTATATGCAAATAGCGATTGTTATATTTTGGTAATTAGTAGATGATCATACTAAACAAATTAATGCAAATTATTTAGTCTCTTTGGAGAGAATTGTAAAATATTTTCCACTTTCTATAAGATATTCTCTTTTATATTCTCTCTCTTTTATATTCTCTCTTTCATCTATATGATCTACTTTTTTTCCTTTATATTCTTTCCTTTTCTGTATATTTTCTCTTTTAGTTTTAAATCGTCCTCGACCCGCGCTTCGAGTATTATATAATGATTATATAATTCGCGAATAAATTCAAATATTGAATTATACTAGCGGTACAAAGGTTTAAAATGAAGGGAATTAAAAAAAAGGTTAATCAATGCACATGACTGACATAAAGACATTACGTTTTTATGCTATAATAATGACGAGTAATTTTTTTATATAAAAACTGATTTCTTTATTTACATATAAACATTGTACAATGTTTATGTACTATTTGGAAGGAAAAACAGTTGTGTATTTATTTATATTTTATATATATGTTTGTATTATCATTGACAAAAATAATGCATAAAAGAAAATTTATTATTTTTTAATTTAACATTTATCACATCACACATTTTACAAGCAATTTTTGAAATATCTAGATTAAAAAGAGAATATAGAGATCATAGAGTTTTGAATAAAGACTTATAAGAAGCAGAAACAGTATTTACGTGTAGCTTCCAAACTTTAGTAATAGGAAGGTGACATTACTGTGTATTATCCTTTGACAGGAATAAATGGGAAAATAATATTTACATGCGTATACAATCTTCGTTGCTCGTATTAAACTTATGTCCGTTACTGTATGTTGTCATTCAAACTGACAATGACTTGGTAAGCATCGTTTCAAGTACAATTGCAAACAACAATCACGATAAAGAAGATTAAAGCCTACTTTAAACGATCTTTAATTCGCGGCAGAATTTCATTCATAATTTCGGCACGCGATATGGAAAACGTTTGTCAAATCAGATTACATGACATAAAAAATAAAATTATGAATAGAATTTTATGCCATTTGTGTTAGTGTTCTGTAATGTTTCATGAGAAGAGATCGGGCGAGTCGATTTTTTCTTTCTGTTTCTAAAAATGCCCGATATTCTGTTGGTTATTTGAAATTTATTATCGTCATTTTATATCACAATATCATTCCGTTGAATTTATCTCGTGTACACTGGAAAAGGTTTTCGAGAGAAATGTGCGAATATCCAGAAACATACTGAATCATATTGCATTCCATTATTGTCGCCTTTATCATATCGAAAATTCAATGTAATCGCGCGATTTCGTTGAATTGCGTGAGAATTTTTTGTGATACGCACGAATGATGCATTTTCACGCGATAAGCGGAATGCGTCTCGTCGCTATGTTCCATTTCTTGCACGTTATACCAAGATTACGTAATGACTCGGCACACATTTCCGAATTTATAAATAATTACTTTTTAATCGAATTCACATAATGATCGTCCAACAAATTTAATAAGATGACAATGTGTATTAAGTTAATTAAAATTCAATATTCGAACTGCTAGATTTCTTTCATAGATTTTACTAGAGAAATAAAGTTCCAAAAATAGAGCATCAAAAAGAGATAATCGTGATAATAATGTCTATTAATACTGTTAATAATATTCAGCAGATTTTAGATAAACATTTTTAAGTCAAAAATAATAAAATTGATATTTTTAATAAAACTATCTAGCTTCTTTATATGACAATTATAAATTCATTCATCTATTATTATTAGCCGCTGTTTTTCCTCTTTTTCAACGAGAAGCAAAAGATATTTTTTTGCTTTTCACAGAAGAAGAAGGATGGACTGAGAATAATCTCAGTCGTGGAAGAATCTTTTATATACCGATGTCTATTATTAGAGAACTACCCATTAGCTTCAAACATTATCCTGTACGTGTTAATTGCCCGCTCTGTAAGCTTATTGGACAAGATCATTATATCAGTGATGATATCGATTCCGAGACAAAATATTATATGTTGAGACGGGTGAAGTTTTAGCTCCCCAATATTAAAAAAAATTAAATTTTTTTACATGATTTGATTGCACATTGTTTGCACATGAATGCACCTTTTTATTTTTGTTTGCACACCTCTAGTAAAAAAGTTATTTAAAAACAGTTTTTGAGAGAGTCAACTTCACGTTAGCCCCACAATTTTTACAAAAATGGTTTTTGATTAACCTAATCGATAGATTCTCGTTTGCACATTTCAAAACAGTTTGAACTTTTGTTTGCACATTTGTAGAAAAAGAGTTATTTTAAAAAAAGAAGTTTGGAGAATTCAACCTTCAAAAGTGTTTTTTGTTTAACTTTTTTACTAGAAATGTGCAAACACATGGAAATCTATCGATTGGGTTAAATGAAAACCACTTTTGTAAAAATTGGTGGCTAACGTGAAGTTGACGCCCACAAAATTTTATTTTGTATATCTTTTTTGCTAGAGGTGTGCAAACAAAAATAAAAAAAGTGCATTTGTGTGCAATTGAATCATGTAAAAATATTTAATTTTTTCTAATATTGGGGGGCTAAATTCATGCATTTAACACGTTGATATAAATGTTGAATGTTTTTTTTTTTTTTTTTTTTTTTTTTTTGGAATCATTCATTTCAATAATGCATGTCTATGTTAGATCGCTCATTGATTTCAATTTCCCTTCATTTTAAGCATCTCTTATCGTTTTGTAATTATTATTACATTTATTTATGTGCATATAACATGCGGATTATTGACAATTATTGAGTTTTTATCGCGGGAGATAAAATTATTAATTACTAAATTAATAACTAATACATAATTTTTTTTAAATCGATGACAAATTCGATATATTACCTCGCAAAGATGTTATATGTCGATATTGGTGAATACAATCTAGTAGATTCTACTAGGATCGACTCATTTTTTTCTCTTTTCATTCTCTCGTAAAAACAATAGCAATAGATAATTTTCTACTTTATATTATATATTATTATCTTTATTTAATTTTATTACTATTTTGACATATTACTAAAAACAATAGGCATGCACCATGATTAATACTGCATGTCCTGTTTAAATTGTCTTGAAATTTGAAAGGTCTGAAAGGTCTTTATTGTCAGTAAGAAAAAAAAATATTTCAGGAACAAATTTGATTTGAAAATATTTTACTGATAATATTTGACAAGATTGTGATTGATAACTTGTCCCTAAACATATATTTTATATATATTGTTAAAATAATAACGAAGAGATATTTCAAATAATCAAATTAGGTGAAATATGTCCTAGAGAATAATATAAGATAATATTTTATATAAATAATTATTTTCTCTCTTTGAAATTGTTTAGAATTTGGAAAGATTTCAGCTTGCGCGATGTATTCAACAATCGCATATCTCATCCGATTAAGGGAAAATTTCTTAATAATAATTAATCAAAAATAGCGACTCGCTATTTATTACAATTGCACAGATGAACCCGCGGCGATGAACCTGTATCTCGGTGCTTTGAAATACCCTCGATTAATATTAAAGACGAACACGCGGGCCTCGTCGAAGGGGGTGCGTTATCGCGGCATGAAGTAAGCGGCGTAAGCCTCGAGAAGCAGTGCCAGGTAAAAAGTGAGAGCGGTGTCGGATGAACAAAACTTGTGATACTATACGTGAAAATAAATATAAATTAACGGACACGAGTATACGCTCGCGTTGCGTATAAATATAATTATATTCGAGCATCTGTGAGACGTGCATAGTCCGCGCATTCGCACACCAACGTCCACGTATATGTACGTACACGAGCGTTCACGGGGTGTACGAACGCGCGCGTGTCATCGAGACAGTTGAAAACGTCGATTAAATAATTAATTCGTTTTAAGAGCGTCACGCGGGAGACGCCCCGCGTTTTTGTATAATAACTGTAGATAGCCGTATATATATCGTAATGCGCATATGATGTACAATATTATATGTTAAAGAGAGGTATATATACATACGATTATATATAGCTATATATATATATATATAAATGGAATCTTTATCGCGATACTATTATATATTAAGTCCACTTTAGACGATCTATACAATAAGTGAACAAATTCGGGATGCAATTGAAGTTACACGCCACGTATTCTGATATGTGTCCTATGTGTCATATGTATATTTTTTGCTTCTTTATATACATATGTTTTTTTATATTATACGGCACGAAAAGTTCTGTTTCGAATTTTATCGTATATTATAGATTGTCTAAAGTGCGCTTTAGGTGCATACATATAATAGAATATAAGTGAGTGAATGGATGAGATAAAGGGAGAGACAAAGAGAGAGAGAGAGAGGGAGAGAAAGAGAGAGCGAAAGAAATAGAGAGAGTGAGAGAGATAAAGAGAAAGATCAAGCAGACAAACGTGATACTTTGCATTATGTATTTCGAAAGCATACTTTTAGACTGTCGCACACGTACTCGTATTGCAGACGTTATAGAGAACTATTTATGAAATATTTTAATTTTTGCGAAGAGATTCATTTTTTTTTTTTCGGTTTGCGGGTAAAAAGTACGATATTGTATATAATGTTTGTAAAATGACGCGTGTGTAAATATTCTCGAAAATATAGTGTAAAGTTGGATAATTCTGTTCAAATCGTGTTTTGAATTAATTTTTGACATTCACGAACTGTATTGCCAAGTGCGAAAAATCACAAGGATGATTATCATTTAATCTTAGAATCATCGTAAATAGATCTTGCAGTTACTACGTCAAAATATGATTATAATGTTCGATGCTCTTCTGAACAATTGGCACGTCATTAGATCATTAATCACTTAAACATACGACAATTAATTCGAAAAACGTTGTATACAAAGTATACGAATAAAGTAATAATCGAAACCGATTCTAATAGCTACAGAGATTGTGTACAAGGCAGATTTGTTTGTTACCAATCCGATGACTGTCGACACGATTTTTACAAACACCGTTTTATTATATCAACATTGTAAAAATAGCGAGAATCGATCGATTTTTTTATTCAAGATGTAATACAGCCAGAGTTAAACCCGCACGAATAGAAGTGACACGGAGAGTTTGCTCGGCGATGCTGGGAACATGGGAGTGTCATACGTCAATGTAATTTCTGCAAGTCAACGTTTAAGTGCAGAGGGCTAAGTCAAGACGTAAGGTTGTGTTGTTGAATAGAAAAAAGTCTCCGCGCAATTAACGCGATGCGGGAGCGCAAGCGAGCGTGTGTGACAGATCTTGCGACGACTCCACGACGTTTAATCCGGTCACGTAATTCACTAGATCATTCGCAATATTACTTCAGTTCTATAAATATGAAATTCACGAAAGCTTTTACCGTCGTTGCGTACGATTTTACTATACCCTATTCGAAGAGAGAAAGTGAAATCTGTCTGCTTTCATTGGCGGATCGTATCGCTGAAAAATCGAATGTCACTACGGAAGATGTGATGGCTCGTAATTTCGCTGATTTTCTCAAACGTGCCACTCCTACCGTATATTACCGACTTTCTCGTACTCTCATAGACTTTCTGAATTTATATTAAATCTGATAGTTTTGAAGCACAGATCCTTTGGGGACAAGTAGACATATATATGGGATACAAAACAAAAGTGTTGCTTTTGAAAAAAGCAATACTTTTTAAAAAAGTAAACACTTGCGTGTTAAAGTGCATCTTTAATGAAACGTTGAAACTCTCGTTATATTCTCTTGCAAACGATTACAATTAGACATTTTCTAATAAAAGGAAAATTAGAAAACTTCTAGTAAAATTGGAACTAATGAAATATCGATTCATGTACTTAAATAACGAGTTGCGCGTTACAGAAGATCACTAATTATTGTTATCACCATTATTTTATTGCCATTGCTGCGATAATATTTGTTGTGGATCTATAAGGTTCATCTCCCCCCTTTTTTTCTCGAGTCTTTATATGTTTTTCAAAATTTTACACTGTAATCCTTAAATATTTTTAATTAAAATTAATATTTTTTTTTTAGTATTTGTAAATACTATAATGAATCTGCAATTTTATGTTGAAACCACAATAGAATATAAAGGATTCTATAAATTTGTACCAACTTTTTTCGCTAATATTTCAGCAAATACAACTCGAAGTCCATCCTGATGGAGAATAATTATAACATTTGAGAGATAAGATTTGAAGTAAAATAAGATCTAAATCTTTTGCGAAATAATGCGAAGTATATTTTTTTTACACAATATTGAAATCTCAATATGATTTTGCGATGAGCAGTTAGAAATTCGCGGTGAAACTTCTTTCGTGAAATTGTTACGATCGATCCCAAACTGTCTTGTTCTCGACAGTGGGCTGATCAAAGAAGGAAAGAAGGAAGCGAGTCCTGCGAAATAGGACTTCTCTCAAGGCGGGGCACGCGTGAAATGCAAATCTCGAAATTACGAAATCTCATGTTTAACACGCTTTCACTGTCTCTTGGGCCATTTTATCGTCTTCCTGACAGAGAGAGAGAGAGAGAGAGAGAGAGAGAGAGAGAGAGAGCAGGAGCGAGAGATAAAGATATAGATAGAGAGAAAGGGAGAAAGAGAGATTTTTTATCTATCAATATCACTGCACGATATCCTGTGTATTCAGGAGAATCAAAATTTATAATTAATTAATAATTTTGATAAGTTCAGACTTTGATGATGTAGGTAACACAAGAATTATGATCTCTATGTTTATTCGCGAGAATTGGCGCGCGATACATTTCTCGAAAATTGTATTATAGCATCGAAATTATGCCAATTTCAATCTCCTATCGAATCTTCGGCTCCTTGCATAGTTCTCGATTGAATCTGCCCATGTCTGATAAATATACGTCGCCTAATTCTTGAGAGATCAAATGACAAAGGAGAGAGAGAGAGAGAGAGAGAGAGAGAAAGAGCGAATGAATGAGTGAAAGACATAGGTAAGAATGGTGAGAATTTCGCGCTGTTGTTGGAGAAAAAAAGAGAGAGTGAAAGGAGCGACGAATCGATGAGATAAGGCTGTAAATGTTTCAATAAATCTACGTATTTCTACGAAAACTAAACGCTGCTTCTTTTG